ACATTCATTTCTTTTTAAGACAACATTTTACCTATACTTAACGTACAAATTACATAAACAAATCTTAACTTATGTAAATAAGGTTTCTTAAATTTTAAACAAATGCTCACAATATAAATGAATTGACTCCAAAATTGGCAGACTTCAAACTCTTCCAACTGATTAGATTAGACATTGGGATGCAAATCCCATTCTTTAAACTTTGTGTTTACTGACGCTAAAAATAAACAGCTCGCTAAATGCGACTTTCGGCACATGGTAAATGTGAATTAAAAATACATCAATGACAATTGTGTTTTATTTTCAATGGAACAACATAGTGATTAATTTGATCGATGATGATGAATTTTATTATAAGAGTGTCATTTCTGGTAATTCAGAGGTACTGTAGGCCATACTATTTCCCCAAATGTTCCCACCTCAGTCCTTGTGTGGACAAATGGCTTCGAAGTAAGTAGGCCTAAATTACATACACCAAAGACAATGTTTTTAATATTTATTTTCTATAGTACATCACACATATTAATTAGATATCTATGGTTGCCGAAAATAATGAGAAATTTGTTGGTGCTTAATTTTTACTACAATATATAATAGTGATGTGATGACATGAATTTTACTAAATAAAAGTGTCATTTCCAGTCATCTGGAGCTACTATTTCCTACAGTTTTCGCACCTCAGCCCTAACATGGTGGGCCTAAGGTGGGTGTGGGCTCACAAAATTCATTATCCACCCCCTCCCTCCCACCATTGCTAAATCCTAATTCGCCACTGCGTAAACAAACGACACTCTTTATGCCCGCTGCCGTCAGTGTGATTTTATTACCCAGTAATCCACAGCGCATGGTTTGATTTTGTTTATCTGTTTTCCACATGAAAGTACTGTTTGTACATCGTGATTCATGAATAATATGCTTAAAAATGTTTTAATTTTACACCAAGCAATTATCGGGTACTCATCCTAAGTTTACAGCTGTACAGTACTTTGGTCAAATTCAAATGAGCATAACTTTTTGGTTTTATTAAGTTTACATACATACTCTTAATTTAGTGTGCGAGATCAATCAAATCAGTAGTAAAAATGCTAAGATTGCGCGAGCTTAATTCGAGGGACTTCTCCCCCTGGGCCCTCGGGGGCCCCCCCGCCCCTAAGTTGCGCGTTGCATATAGAGTTCTCACAGAATTTGTTGGTTAAAATTGGCAACTATGCATGCAAAAAAAACCTCCTGGCCTCATCAAACTTTTTTCAAAAAAAGAGTGAAACTAATAATTGTTTGCCTAGGCTAGGCCCATGTGAAAGACATTCCTATCCTACTATAGCTAGATAGGGCCTACCATCCATAAATCTAAGCCTCGCTAGGCTAACCTAGGCATGGGGCCCAGGCCTTCTAGTAGACTAGGGCTAGGCCCTAGGTCCAAGATACTCCATACATGTAACATAGACCTACCAAAAGGTTCTACATAGACAACTGTCCCAACCAATTGATGAATGCGTACTTACCACAAATTAAAAAGTAACTGGGTCTAAGCTAGGGCCTAATGTTACCTAGTATACCGGGGAGTCGTTCAGTGTATAGCCTAAGCAGTGCACGTGAAATTCATCATGTGGGGCGCCATTTTGTAATTGTAGAGGGCGGCAGATAGATATAGGCCAAGCGCTGCCACAGAGCAAAGAGAGCAAAGAGTATCTCTTTGCATAGAGTTATAATAAATAGGTTAATTTGAGTACAGTACTACATACAATTTTTTAAGTCTCATATTTACAAATGAGAAAAAACAATTATTTCTTTTATAATATGATTGCAATAAAGTTTGCAGTAACTGATACATTACTATAAAGTTATGTATTGGATGTAGTTTTATTACTTTTGTATTTAGTTGTTTCATACTGAACTCTTGCAGTAGGCCTAGGTCCTCATATGTCTTATGTAATACAATTTTTAATATGGCTATGGCTAAATTTAAAGACAATATGATAAATATTATATTCATGTATCTGTTCTGCCAAAAGGCATAAGATTCAATTATTCTAATTTGCTTGAAGCATTGATTTCATAGACTGGAATATTTCTGTGAGTGAGAAAATCCAATCCAATCCAATTGGGACTACGAAAAACATTTTCTTGTTTATTGTACTTTTTAATATTGCAATTGACAGGGATGATACATATATAATAGTGAATGGAAAATGTATTGTATTTTCATTTGTTTGCTTTAAGTTGACCACAGTTTTTCGGAAAGCTACAAATCGAAATAAAAATAAAATATTAGAGAAGCACAGTGGACTTAATCTCGAGAAGAAGCCCATCTCGTAGAAACTCTCATTGGTTTGCAAATGTAGTAAAGTTAAAAAAAAGCCACCTTGAAGAGATTCTTGAAGAATTTCTAGATTGTACATACATTAAATGAAGGTCAAAGAACAGAAAATATTTAATTGCTCTAATATTCAATTAAAAGTTAATAACTTGCTCTATATAGAAAATTAATGTCAGTGAATATAATTTTGTACCACGACGATGGAACAGGCAACTCAGATGCTGGTGGAATGTTGATTGCTCAAAATGAATGCAAAGCCTGTATTTGTGGGACATCTCGTTTTGATATACTATTAATAGTTGTATACTGTATTAATTTTGTATGACGAATGGCAATTTTAATCAAAGTTTTATTTATTCTACTGGCAGGTAATTACAAGAGCCATGTGACAGTGTGTTTATATTAAGCGTGTTCATAAATAATATATACTTGTCTTATTTCTGTTATGTTTTGGATGAGGGAGCGTATATCTAGAGCATGGGTGTAGAAAGTAATATAACCTACTTAAAATTTAATTGTTTTCAAACTTAAGAATGGATGGGGGAAAAATCCATAAAAGTTTGAGGTCTTCACAGATTATAGAGGGCAGCTATCATCTCCTTCAATAAACATATTTCACACTCGCTCGACTACGCAGGTCACTCAATAGACGCCAGCTTATTGGTCAAATATGCACACTTTATAACACTTGAAATATAAGTCAAATTCTATATATTACGTCATACCTAATTATAATTAAAAATAAATGTAATGTAATGTAACTATAAATAAGTTTTACCTTATCAAATATTCAAAAATTACTAAATTTTAATTCGCATATTGGCCATTTTTCCAAAGCCTTTTCTATTTCTTTTATTTTTTCCTCAGTATTTATAACTACTTACCACCGTATGATGATAATTTTTATAGTCGAAATTATTTAAAATTATGCTTGCCGCTCTTTTTTTAAAAGTTTTAATATATTTTTATTTTTTTACGTATTTCCCCAAACTGAGATCGAGTATTTAATACATGGTTTAATTGTAATTGTATATAGTTTTACCAATAGAGATTTACTGGGGGTTTTGCCAATTTATACCTAACATATGGATTTTATAACTAACAGATTTGTATACATTTTGAATGTGATAATCTCATTTTAAGTGTTCATAAAATTTAAATGCCTAAGTATTTTACCGGTATATGTTTAACTTGTTCAATTTCTGTTTGATCGACTTGGATAGGGCCTACTTAAACTGTCATGCTGTAAATTGTACTTGTTCCTGTTTACCGTAAAGTTTAGTTTTATCAGCATTAAATCTTAGCTTATTTCCTATGTACCATCATGGAAGAAGAAAATAGACCATATTTGAATATTATCAAGCATATTTTGTAATTTTTAGTTAGCTTCAGTATTTGTCTTTTTAGAGACATATAAAATAACATCACCTGCAAAAATACTGATGTTACCATGGAATTTCTATTGAGATATATCGTAAATAAAAATGAGAAACAATGTGGAGTCGAGAAAGCATGCCGCTGTCATTTCATTGTTATTCATAGATTCGAGCCAGTCATCGATAACATTATGTAGGCATGTAACTGTGGAGTGGTGTTTGCTAAAGGTATGTTGATCGATATTTATCAACTCAGCTTCGTTTAAGTAATTACAATTTGGGTTTTAACATATTTTCCACAATTTTTGTGCAATAATTATTTACATTTTGTGTTTCACCTTTACCTTTGAATACAGGACTAGTCCGTGTTAGTCTAGAGGGATTATTTCATTTTCTAATGATTTATTTATAATATCACATAATGATTTAGTAATAATAGATGAGGCGAGTTAAAGTGATGAGTGATGAGCTTCTGTCGTGAATTGGTGCATATCTTTCAGGTCGAACTCAGTGTGTCTCTGTTAATGGTCATCTCTCTTTTCAATCTTAAGTGATCTTAAGACCCATCCTTTTCAATTTGTTATTAATGATCAATGAAAAGGTTTCTGATAAGCTCTTTGCGGATGACACCAAACTTTATAGGGTTGTTGATTCAATTGGCGATTCTCACTTATTGTAGGCATATTCGTGCTTTGTATGATTGGTCTTGTAAGTGGCAGTGACACTTTAATGAGGGAAATATAAAGGAATTCATTTCAGAACAAATGAAATTAATTTTTCATACTTTATTAATGGTGCGGAACTTGAAGTTGTTGAATCGGAGAAGGACTTGGGAGACGGTGACGTTCGATTCAAATTTTTAAGTTTTGTTAACCATTATGAAATTAGGCATGATCAACCGGTCCAATTTTTGAAGCCAGGATTAATGAAATTATACAAAGTTATCGGTCATTCTAATTTTTGAAGACTAGGGATTAATGAAATTATACAAAGCTATCGTTAGACCCACCTTAGAATATTGCAATACCGTTTACCAACCCAAATTTTAAAAAAAAGATCTCGAAAGGGATTTATCACCTTAAGTTATCGCAGGCGGAAGAGTCGATATTCTTCATTTTTCAGATTGTACGAGGCATTGATAACATTCCAATGAATTTGTACTTTTATTTTAATATCAAATAGGAGCACACTCGAGGTCATTCGCACAAATTAGCCCATTACTATTGTAGTTAAGAGCTTTTTTAGACGGTATGTTGGCCCGTGGAATTTCATGCACGATGAAGATGTGATTGTGAATTGTTCTTCACCCCTTAAGTCGGCGTTCGGAGAAGCGTTATGACCACCTGCTTAAATTTGCGCCGTACATCAAAGTTGAAGTTTTCAGCGAGAGGCCAAGCAATGTCTTGGCCTCTCTTCCCGGTAGCTCCTGGGACACAAGTCAAGTAAGTAGATATAAATCTATGTTGCTTTTTTTTTTATTAACAATATGAATTACTACTATTATTTATATTATCATCATTTTCTTCACAATTAGGTGATTATGCATTGTTGCATTGATTGTTTTATGGAAGGTCTGGATTAATTAAATTATCGTATTATTGTATAATGTATATGTAAATATAATATATTTATTTAATGATTGTTTAAGAAAAGGAAATGCCACTTGTAAAACCAAAAATGAATAGCTTGGCAGTTGAGGGCTTGCTTCTAGTTCTGGGGTTCTGGTTACAGGAAGATGTCTTCTAAAATCTTGGTTTATAAAGGATTGTTTAATCCTGCAGGTGGCAGACATGAAGGAAATGTAATAATAATAATACTAATAATAATAATAATAATAATAATAATAATAATAATAATAATAATAATAATAATAATAATAATAATAGTACTAATTCAGTAAGTGATAAATATGTCAATAGTAATAAAACAGTATTTATGTTCAAAGAAATGAAGGAACAAATAAAAGTGGGACGACTCCACAAAAGAGAGAAAAAAATAACAATATAGCTGCTGAAAGTATTTTGATTAATTTGTTTATATTCAGTATATTGTTAAAGTATAATTTACTTTGGCTTAACGAACGAAGGGTCTATATAAAAAAAGTGGCATTGTTTCTCAGTCTTCTAAAATTCCATGGGAGATTGTATGTCCGAGGATAGAGATATTATAGTTTACTATAATACCTTCATGGTCCGAGATCGAGACAACAATAAACTGTTTAGAATTTCCATAACAGACAACAACGCAAGATTCATTCATGTATTTGTCTTCTATAGTGATGGGGATCTTAATTCTATTCTTGTTGGTAATACATTTGTATACAATTGAGAGGGCTTTTTTTATGTAAAAAATACATCGCTAAATAATTAAAATATAAGCTAGGCTTACCTTAATACCATTAATAATCAGATGCATCATGCTAGACTGATCTAATTTGTTCTCAGAATTTAATATATCGGTGAACTATTTTGATATCAAAATTTACCCAAAGTTGTTTTGATCATGCGTGGAGAAATCTTCGCTGTACCGTCGACATGTTGTCAATAATTTCTTAATATAGGTTTTACCTTTTTTATAATGGTTTGAAATTGTGATTTATGGCATACTCTGAATGGATTTATGTTTTTATATTTGTTTGCTTCGTATTTTAACAATATGTACACATTTTGTTGTTGTTGTTTTTGTTATTTTTATTTATTTATTTATTTTTCGGAAAGCTGTAACTCATTATATAAAAGTCTAAATTGTATTGACGAACATAAATATTTTTACATGATTCCCTGATAACATTCTGTCGCCCTATTATTACATTGGCGTAGAACCTCGAAAAGAAGCCCAGTGGGCGGGCGGGAGGAAGGCTTAGTATTATTAAACATCAAGTATCTGGTAGGCCGTTATAAGTCCATAAACATTTTAGAAAATGAACTTTGT